TAAACAAGTTGTTTTCGATTTGTTAAATAGCTTTCAAACCATTTTAAGATTCTATTGTTTAAGCCATAATGTTTATTTTTTTGGATTAAAATGTGATGGTCGACCGTATCAAAAGCTTTTGATAGGTCAATAAAAACACCTAGTGTACATTGGGATTTTTCAAAAGATTCAGAGATGTTATGTATAAATTGAATAATGGCATGTTCAATTGAACTCCCTTTTCTGAAACCATACTGATTGTTATAAAGTAAGTTGTTGTAGTTAAAATAATTGTATACCCTATTAAAGATAATTCTTTCTAAAATTTTAGAAAATATAGAAAGAACAGAGATGGGACGATAACTACTGATATTGGATCTGTCGCCTTCTTTATGGATAGGGGTAACCCTGGCAAGTTTTAAACGTTCAGGAAAAATACTTTGATGGATAGATGCTCTAAAATTTTAAAAAGAATATTTTTTAATTGTTCGTAGCAATCTATACAATATTTCCATTTATTTCATCTGCACCAGGTGCTTTATTTTTTTAAAAAGATTTAAAAGCTTTTTCAAACTCATCAAATGATTATTTTTATCAATATGTATCAAATAATCATAAAATGAGGTTTGAATTTTTGGTATTTTACTTGACAGAGTTGATCCAATTTCAGTGAAATATTTATTGAATTTATGAGCTATTATTTGTAGTTCATACAAGCTATTAGTATCGACTTAAAGCATTTGTGGCAAAGAGCTTGTGCATGTTTTTTGTTTTCCAGTAATTTCTTTCAATACTAGCCAAGTGCTTTTGAGTCATTTTTAACTTAATTAATTTTGAAAAGTATTTTTTTTTTAAATTTTTTTGAATTTTTTCTAAAAGATTTTTGTAAAGCTTTGTAAATTTTTTCGCTAGCTGGTGTTTTTGTTTTTAGATGTTTTATGTATAGTTTTTGTTTAGTTTTGGATGATTTTTTGAATCTTTTGGCAATCCAGGGATTATTAAACCTATATTTTTTTCTCAACGCCCTGCAAAGAGACCGCTGATTTCACTAAAGGACCAGAAGAAAAGACTCCTGTTTTTTACATCTCATATTGACTGGAATGTGCAGAAATGGCGAACTGTCCTGTTCAGTGATGAATTTAAGTTCAACATCATTGGGAGCGATGGCATTTGCCGTGTACGTCGACAAGCCGGGAAAACGCCTCAATTTACGTTACTGCCATAGGACCGTGAAGCATGGTGGAGGCAGTGTAATGGTCTGGTTTTTCTGCTAACGGTCTAGGTCCAATACATCGAAACAATGAAATAATGGACCGTTTCATGTATAAAAATATCCTGAAAGATGTTATGCTACCTCATGCTGAATGGAATATGCCAATAAACGGGGTTTTTCAGCAAGACAACAATCCGAAACACACTGCAAAATTAGTCGAGCAGTGGTTTCAAGACAACCACCTATCTGTGATGGATTGGCCGCCTCATTCTCCGTATCTCAAACCTATTGAGAACCTGTGGGAGATCGTCAACTGCAGAATTAATTGTGAAGGTGTTCGTAATAAGCATCAACTGTTTGAACAAATCCAAAAGGCCTGGGCAGCGATTCCACAAATTTTCATTGATCACTTGATCGAATCTATGCCTCAAAGATGAAAGGCTGTGATCGACAACAAAGGATTCGCCACAAAATATTAATAGCGAAATACAGCTTGGTTCAACAAGCGGAGTTGCACTTGTTTTGTCCAGAAGGAAATCAACTTTTTTTAATACTTTTGATTAACTCATTAATTTTTGTGTACAAATAATGAACTTTGTGATGAATAAAACTTGAAGAACGTTGTCTCTAAACAATTGCATAGTTATTTCTCTAAATTGAAAAAATGCAGCACTTTTATATAAAGAAACTAAATTAGCATTATTTGGTTGCACTTGTTTTGTCCGATACTGTATATATATATATATATATATATATATATATATATATATATATATATATATATATATATATATATATATATATATATATATATATATATATATATATATATAAGTATATATATACATATATATATATATATATATATATATATATATATATATATATATATATATATATATATATATATATATATATATACATATATATATGTATATATATATATATATATATTTATATATATATATACATATATATATATATATATATATATATATATATATATATATATATATATATATATATATATATATATATATATATATATATATATATATATATATCCCACCCCTCCTTAAAAACCTTAATATCCTTAAAAAAAAAAAATATCCTTAAAAAAAAAAAAAACTTCTTAAGAGTCCTCAAATAACGTGGGGGTGGGGGGATACCATCACAACTTTTGTCGACTTAAAAAAAAAGTCTTTGCTTTTCGAAATTTGCCGGCTGCTTAGTCAACATAAGCCGACTGACTTGTTTAAAAGGGTCACTAAATGAACAAAAAAATCATTTATTGGGGAAGGGGGTGTCACACTTTTCCTCTCCTCCCCATCGCGCCGGCCATAGATTTAGAGGCGTCAAATACAATATTTGTTAACAAAGCATATAAACAATAAAATTATTTAAACGCTTTTTCAATACTTTTTTTTATACTTATTAAGGTGCTCGCAAAAGTCCTTACGGTCTTATCAAAGAGCACCGCGGAAGAGCATTTAATAAGGAAGTTTACGCCTCCTTAGTAGTAGAGAATTGTCGGTTCTGGCTCATTTTTAATTTCAATCATATTTTTAACCATATATTTAATTAAATATATGGTTCATTTTAATCTATAGTGTGTATAAATTGTATAACTAAGAAATAAATTTTTAAATCAAATTTTTTAAATTTAAAAATCAGTTTTTAAATTAGTGCTAATTTCGTTTCTTGTCGTCGCGGAATTTTCTTGTCAACGACTACTTCATCTTGCTACAAGATGAAGTAGTCGTTGTTATAGTGGTATTTGTATTAGCATGACCAGAAGTAGCTGATACGCATATATTCACATTTACATTATAGTTTTGGATTTTTATATATACAAGATAATTATTTAAAGATTTTTCAATTCTTTATTATCAACCCATGAGTTAAAAGTATCAGAATATCCATACCACTTTACTAACGATATCTTACCTTGTTTACGA